AAAAAAAAGTACAAAATAAACAAACAAAAAAAAAAGATTTAAAACAGTTGGCGTTAATAAAAATGTCAATGTGAAATTCACGTCCTCACCTTGTGTTCTGTTTGAAGGCTGGAAGGACCCAAAACTGGGTTTAATTCAGAGCCCAAAAGGACCCAAATCTGGGTTTAATTCAGAGCCCAAAAGGACCCAAAATTTGGTTTATGTGGAGCCTTAAAAGACCCAAAGCTGGGTTTAATTTGGAGGCTGAAAAGATCCAAAGCTGGGTTTATTTCAAGCCTGAAAGAACCCAAAACTGAGTTTGTTTGGAGGCTTAAGGGACCCAAATCTGGGTTTAGTTTGAGCCTGAAAGGACCCCAAATTTGGTTTATTTAAAAGCTGAAAGGACCCAAATCTGGGTTTATTTGGAAGCTGAAAGGACCCAAATCTGGGTTTATTTGGAGGCTGAAAGGACCCAAAATTTGGTTTATTTAAAAGCTGAAAGGACCCAAAACTGGGTTTATTTGGAAGCTGAAAGGACCCAAATCTGGGTTTTTTTGGAAGCTGAAAGGACCCGAATTTGGGTTTGTTTTTAGGCTGAAAGGACCCGAATTTGGGTTTATTTAAAAGCTGAAAGGACCCAAATCTGGGTTTATTTGAAAGCCGAAAGAACCCAAATTTGGGGTTGTTTTGAGGCTGAAAGGACCCAAATCTGGGTTTATTTGGAGGCTGAAAGGACCCGAATTTGGGTTTATTTTTAAGCTGAAAGGACCCGAAGCCGTGGGGGCCCAGGGGTCCCTTCCAGGACCCTGCAGGGGTCGAGCTGAGGCTCAGCCCTGAGCAGAGCCCTTTTAATCTGAATTAAAAATCACCCCAGAACCGCGATTAGCAGAGAAAGGGGAAAAAATAATTATTAGTGAAACAAAAAAAATTGATATTAAACAGCACAAAATTGACGGAATCGAATTGTGAAATCATTTCCACCCCCCCCCAAAAAAAAACCAAAAAAAACCCCCGGGAATTTGGAGCTGTGGGGTGGATGCTTTGGGAATTCTGCATTTCCCTGCTGTCAGCACCACACTCAGCTGCTTTCCCTTCTGCTCCCTGCACACGAACAAAATCAAAATCGGCCACAAAATCCAAACAAGCCCGGAGGGAGCGGGGCTGGGGCTCGGGGGGAGCCGGGGGAGGAGACACAAAAATAAAAACAAAAAAAAAAAACCCAGGAGGGGCAGAACCGGCCCGGCTGGGGCTGGGAGCGGCTGAATCCAAATTAAAGGAACTTTGGGATTTGTCTTTTCCGAGAAAAATCTTTATTTTTATTGCTGGAGGCAAAGGGATGATGGGGAAAATGGGGAAGACAAGAAAAGATTTTAGGGGTGAGGAAAGGGCTGGGCCTGAACTCTCCTGCAGGCCCTGAGGGGAATTTAATTCACAATTAAAGTTTGGGATTTATCTTTTCCATGAGAAATCTTTATTTTTATTGCTGGAGGCTAAGGGATGATGGGGAGAGAGGCAGGACAAGGAGAGAAAAGATTTTAGGGGTGAGGAAAGGGCTGGGCCTGAACTCTCCTGCAGGGCCTAAAAGGAATTTAATTCCCAATTAAAGAAAGTTTGGAATTTGTCTTTTCTATGAGAAATCTTTATTTTTATTGCTGGAGGCAAAGGGATGCCAGGAAAAGGGGAAGACAAGGAGAAAAAAGATTTTAGGGGGGAGGAAAGGGCTGGGCCTGAACTCTCCTGCAGGCCCTGAGGGGAATTTAATTCCCAATTAAAGAAAGTTTGGGATTTATCTTTTCCATGAGAAATCTTTATTTTTATTGCTGGAGGCAAAGGGATGATGGGGAAAGGGGAAGACAAGGACAGAGGAAATTTTGGGGCGAGGAAAGGGCTGAGATGGGGCTCAGGGGGTGATTAATGAGGGAATCGTGGTAATTAATTAATGAGGGAATTAATGAGGGAATCGTGGCTGCCACATCCCAGTGGCACCTGGCCCTGGATGAGTTTTTATCTCCTTCCCACCCAAACCATTCCAGGATTTTGCCCACGGGATTTGGGAACGTTCCTGGGGCTGGGGGTCCCAGCAGGGACAGCTGAGGGAATCACCAGAGTCCCTGGAACAGGGAATTTTTAGGGAATGTTGGATATTCCCTGTAATTCAGATTATTTTAAGGAATGCTGGGTATTGCCTGTAAACTGGATTTTTAAGGGAAATATGGACATTCCCTGTAATCCAGATTATTTTTATGGAATGCTGGACATTCCTTGTAACTCAGATTATTTTTTAGGGAATGCTGGATATTCCCTGTAACCCGGATTTTTTCAGGAAATGCTGGATATTCCCTGAAACCCAGATTTTTCAGGAATGCAGGAAATTCCCCGTAACCCGGATTTTTTTTAGCGAATGCTGGACATTTCCTGTAACCCATTTTTTTTCAGGAAATGCTGGATATTCCCTGTAACTCAGATGATTTTTTTATGGAATGCTGGCTGTTCCCTGTAACTGGGATTTTTCCCGGGAACGCCGCCTATTCCCATTTCCCCGGCAAGGAATCAAATCCCCCCTCGGGGGCCAACACGAGCTCTGGGCTGGGGGTTCGGGCTGGGGAGCCCCCGGGCACCTCGGAGATGTCCGGGCAGATTTTCCTCAGCTGCCAGCAGGGAATTCTCCCGGATTCCGCCCCAAGGGAGGAAACTCTGGGAGCTCCTCTGCACGGCCCGGGGTGAGGGCAGATGTTGGCAGCTGGAATGGGAATATCGGAGCCAGCTGCTCCCAGGGGTTTTTTCCATGGATGATGGAATTCTGGAATGGTTTGGGTGGGAAGGGAGCTCAAATCCCATCCAGGAAGATTTTCCCCCATCCCAGCCTGGCCTGGGACACTCCCAGGGATCCAGGGGCAGCCACGGCTGCTCTGGGAAATCCCTGCAGGGTTTTTAGAGCCTCACTGGGAAAACTTCTTCCTTTTTGAGCTCATCTCCAATCAATCCTCTCCCACTTTCAAACCATCCTCCCCTGTCCTACTGCAACGTTCCATAAATCCCAGAAAATCCTGAGCTGGAAGGGACCCACAGGGATCACCCAGCCCAGCTCCCATCCCTGCAGGACACCCCAAAATCCCACCCTGGGCAGCCCTGGCAGCGCTGCCCAAACATTCCCGGAGCTCTCAGAGGTTTGGGATCAGGATCATTCCATGGGGAGCTGCCCCAGTGCCTGAACATCCTCTGGAGGAAACCCCAAAATCCAACTCAAACTCCAACCCAAATATCCAACCCCAAAGTCCTGGAGCTCTCAGAGGTTTGGGATCAGGATCATCCCATGGGGAGCTGCTCCACAGCCCAAAAACCCTCTGGGAGAAACCCCAAAATCCAAATCAAACTCCAACCCCAAATATCCATCCCAAAACTCCTGGAGCTCTCAGAAGTCTGGGATCCCAGCCCCTCCACAGGGAACTGCTCCAGTGCCCAAAAATCTTCTGGAGGAAACCCCAAAATCCAACTCAAACTCCAACCCCAAACTCCCGGAGCTCTCAGAGGTTTGGGATCAGGATCATTCCACGGGGAGTTGTCCCGGTGCCCAAAATCCCTCCCCAGATCCCTGTTCCAAGCAGGAATTCCTCCCCCGGTTCCAGTCCAACCCCGCCCTCTCCCCCTTCCCCCCCGCATTCCATCGGCTCCCGTTTCTGGGGCGCGTTCCTTCCCCCGGATCCCGCAATTCCCCGCACGATCCAAGGGCCGCTCCCAGCCCGGGAGGGGCCGGGGCAGTGTCCCGGTAATTGCCGCTTGTCCCCGCGGCCTCTGTGTTTACTGTGTGTCACTAATTGCCACTCCTCATTACGGCCCGTTAATTGGTCACCCGCGCTTTGTCCTGCCCTTCTCCAGCCATCCCGTTTTCCCTCTTTTCCTTCCCATTCCCGCATCCCACGGGAATGCGGGTCCAGGCTGGTGTCACCCCGCTTTGGGGACACTCGGGGCACACCGGGGGCAGTGCAGGGCGGGCACTGCCGGGGCTGGCTGCGCTTCTCTCCCAGCCCCGGTACCCGGTGCTGACCGGGCCGGGGCCCCGCCCGCTCACCGGAACCGGCCCGCGGGATACACAGCGCCGGTTCTTGCGGGATGCCCAACCCGGAGCGACTCTGCAGGGCCGGACACGACACACGGACACGCCCGGACACACCCCCGGTCCCGGGAGCCCCGAGCCGGCTCCGCTTCCCGCGGCGCGCCGAGCACGTGGCTCCTCCCAAGCCGGTTCCGGTGCCGGTGCCCGGAGCCGCTGCCGCTGCTTCCCGCGCCCATCGCGGGCGGAGCCGCGCCGGGGATGGCCGGGACGCCCCGGCAGTGCCGGTGGCCCCGCTCTCCATCCCGGTGGCCCCG